TGTCTGTTCCACGTGCCTCCTCCAGGCCTCTTCCTTGTTTGCCATCCTGCCTCCTTCTCCAGTCTCCTCTCCAGCTTCTCCAGCTGCTCAGCTCCACCCTCCCTTGGTGGGTGGAAACTCCCCCTTTCCTGGGGACCCCACTCTCACATCAGGAGATGGTGTCTGTCAGGGAGCAATTAGAGAAGACTGGCCTCCACTCTAGTTTGCTTGGTGGAAGGCCATTTCCCACAGGGTATTAGATGGCCCCTATTGAGGCCACAGGATGGAAGACACAGTCCAGGTGGCGGGCAGGAGCTTGCAGGAGCAGCCTCCAGCACCACTCCCAGGAGCTGGCCCACACAGGAGCCACTGTCTTGCCACAAGGAAGCAGCCCTCTCCAAGGCCACAGCACCTGCTTCAAACAGGAAACCCCCCATCAGGAAGCCGGTGCTGCTGCTGCTTGTAGAACCTGGGCGAATCTGCCTCAGCCGGACACTGTCCGCAGAATGTTCGTTTCTCTCCTACACTGGGACGCTCTGCACCTCCTGAGCCAGGATCTGGACGTGGGGACTTGGCACGAACCCCTTCACGGCCCGACCTGCGGACCGACATGCCAGCGCCGCGTTCACCTCAGCCTATGCTGTCCTTAGAGTTCGTGCTGCAAGGGAGTAAACGAAGTCTGTTTTAGCTTTGCACCTTTCAAGGCAGGGAAGGCTGCTGGTACTTTGTGCAAGCTGTTGGCTGTTACTCTCAAGAACATCGTAAAGTCAGTGTAGGTGGTCACAGCAAGAGGTTGTCTTCTTAGTCACAGGTATAAGTGTAAGGGTGACAAACTGAAGCTTTTGTCCTGGCATTGTGTGTGGACACATCCTCGTTTGTAAAAGGAAAACATTTTTCTTCTGGGTCATACAAACAAAAACGAGAAAACAAGCTGTGAAGTCCTTGCAGTGGTTCGAGTGCCTGTTTTCCACAGCAAGATCTCACATGTCCATGGGCAGGGTCCAGCGGCCACTGATCTGTGGGGCTGGGCCCTAGGGGCGATCACAGCTGGGTGTGTGTGTCTGTGGGGGTGCTGGCTACTGATGAGCAGTGCCTCTTGGGGCTGAGGAGAGTTGCTCAGGCCCCCCAGTGTGGGGTGTGAAGAGGAAGGCGCTGGCTCAGACCCCAGGGAATGCGGATGTCGCTCTGGCAGGAGAAGTCGCCTTAGGGTGTTCCGCTAGTCCTTGCTCCCCAGCACCTGCCATTCACTTTCCAGGAGGGTGTGTGGAGCCGGAGGTGCCCGGCATGCCCTGCGGGGTGTGTTGCCAGTTGCACTCTGGGAGCAGCTCGGCAGCACCTGCAGCCATGCAGTCTGGGGCAGCACCACCCTGGCATTCAGGGCGGGCGTATGGAAGGGGCGCGGGGCGTGCACACGGTCTCAGGAATGATGGGAAGTGGCCAGGTCCCAGGCCTCCAGTGGCGCTGGCACTGCCGTGGTCTGTCTCTCTCATGACTCGGGGGCTCTCAGACACCCCTGATGGCTTTTATGCTGTACAGAAAAATAGCAACAAGGGGTGGGGAGCAGATAGGGAGGGGCGCAGTAAAATTGGGAGGTATGTCCACGGGAGAATGGACACACAGTGGGATGTGTGAACAGAGACATGTTTTACAGTGAGGTGAATGAGCTGTCGACATGTATCTGTCTGGAAACCTTTACAAACCTTAATGTTAGGTGAAAAACAACTGCAAGTCACAAAATGGTATCTAAAGTACACTGTCATTTATTGAAAATTTCAAAACTATACAAAATTATACTACATATTCTTATTGGAAAACAAATACACCATCATCATGTAAGTGAAGGGGACAGAAAATTCCGGGCACTGGTTATATATCTCTGGGAGGTTGTAGGAAAATGTGCTGAGATTGGCCTTGACTTGCAGCCTTAACTTTTTAAAAGAAGCATAAGCCACTATGGCAAAATATTAGTAACTTTTAAATTAGCTACACATGAGAGAAATATTTTGTTCTTTTAATAATTAAAAATAAATACAAGTGTATATTAATTATGCAGCTTCTAGCACAAGAATCAAGCTTCGTCCCTTGACCCCAGATGAAGGATATACCTGAAATGCAGTCACTAGGGGAAGCATATGCACACACACACGAACACACAGGTGGGCATATCTGTATACACACACACACATGCCCATCAGACTTATAAACACACCCTCTCAGTCTGCATACATGCATGCATGCATGCATGTGTGTGTGACTTTAAATGAAAACAGCAAGCTTTTAATTTTTCTTTTGGAAAAAATACTGACCTTACCAGATACTCCTTCAGTTTCCGAGAGAGGAACTCTGATATTGTGGTTGCCTAGCCCTTCCCTGTCATTTGACTATGTCCTGAGTCTACAGAGGGAAGGGATGATCTATATTTACGTCAGAGTGATGATCCTGGGGTGACTGGAGTGTGGCCAGGAAGAACAGAGGCCATTCCTGAATGCTGGGTACTGCTCCAGTGCCCAGAAAGATGGGACACAGGAGACCAATGAAGTCTGGTGGGAAACGATGGGGCTGGGAGCCAGGAGGTGGGGTTCTCTGCCTCCTGTTGGATTTCTGTGCCTTAGCTGATGGCACAGCATCTTTCTGGAGGTCAGGCTGATTGGCTTCTCTGTCTGCTTAAGGGCTTTATCTTCTCATGCTAGAATAATTGATGTGGTATTCCAGGGATTCTAGAAGGTTCCCTTCCTTGGTAAATTCTGCTTTTTTTTAACACCGCACATCTTCTTTTCAGAGACTGTTCATATCAACCCTCCTGGGTGAGCTGGACCCTTCTCAGTCAATCCTTGTGTGACTGGTGATTTCAGGGAGGAATTGGATAAGGGGGTTACAGGAGCCATCAGTTCCAAATGTGGAAAAGGAAATCATATGACTTTCCTAAGGGCAGGAATACATGTAGTCTACATTTGCTTATTTTCAACTCATCCATCATCCTCCTCTATAAGTTTTATAAGTTCTCTTTGTGTGTGTGTGTGTGTGTGTGTGTTGGGGGTGGGATGGGGAGATAGGGTGTGAGTTCCACTTGAATTTTTACCAGAGGCATGTGTTTCAGGCATAAACTTGTACGTTTTCAGTCTCAAGTTTACAGATGTGAAAGTTGCTTGCCTTGCACAGGTGTTGTTACTTGCCTTTGACCCAGGGTGGGTCAACACTCAGGGAATGACAGAATTGATTTGCAGACTTCCCCAGTTGTTTGCTCTTGGTGTGTTATCACTGGAGCTATTGAATGATTATCCTCTTTTCCTTTTATTGGTCTTGCTACCAGATCTCTTTAAAAGCTGTGCTGCCTTGTGTCTTGAGCCTTGACTTTGAGAGCACTGCTGAGCAGAGACAGACTCACTCCTCGTAACGTGAGGCAGGCACCTCACTCGGAGGATGGAGGGCAGTGAAAATGGCATCTTCCTCAAGGTAGAATATGAGATGGTGGAACACTGGTGGCTCATCCATACTTAGGTGTCCCTGTCTTCTCAACAACTCTTGACTTGTTTCAAGCAAGCACCTGGCCTAGGTTGGGTGGTTAGGTTAGAACTAATGTCAGCTGCCCCTGGTCTCTGGCTTGGGGTCCTTGACCCTGTTTTTAGCACGTGCTCCTTGAATTGCTGAATTCAAAACTTCCCCTCCCCTGAAGAATTTACTCACAGAAAGTATTAAAGAGAAGTGTAGAAAGTGTAGACTTTACTGAGTACATCAACGAGGAGACGTAGGCGGAGGCTGGGAAAGCGCTGCTCAGCAGTGAGAAACCTCTCCCTTAACCACTTTTGTTCTCTCAGGTTCTTCTCATCCATACCACCACACCTGGGATTTTCCCCTTAAATATTGTTTGTCTTTCTCTAACAAACATTCCTGAATTCCCGCTCCTTTCTTTACTCTCCCCTTTCTTGAGAAAAAGTGAAATGCTGCTCTGATTCTTTCTTTCTTGTTTGTGTAACATCAAGGGCCTCTTTCTCACAGCAGTGTGATCTCGGGGGCTTACACTTCAAGGGAGAGCATCCGTTTTTCAAGTAAATGAGGTGCTCTTTTGGAGTTGATCAACAGAGGTAGAGGCTGCTGTGACTGGAGAGTTCTCCTGGTACCCAGATCAGGAGAAGAGGTGGCCACAGCCCAGAGTCGTCCTTCCTTTCCATGGTTAGGGTAAAGGTGTGGCCAGCAACTCTGTAGGACCTTAAAAACATGCCACAAAAATGGTTTCCTGAGAGTGTTTGAAGCAGGGAACAGAGATCTCATGCGTGATGACAGCAGCTGGCCAGGTGGCTGCCCCACATTGCCTAGGGCTTGCTGGTTGAATGTTTGTGGAAGGTACTGTCCTTTCCTGATAAATAAACATAAGTTGTTACTGTTTATGTATTCTCTGCCTCTGGCCTCTTCAGATGGTTTTGCAAATACCTAGAGAGCCTCTTAAGATTTGGGGCAGCAGCTTGGCCGTCCTTTCTCTTACACATTTCAGTCCTGCCAGTCACACTGTTGCGAGGTACGCTGACCCATGTCCCCAAGTTCAGACCGTGCTGCAATGACAGGCAGTGGACGCCATCTCACTATTGTGGGGGCTTCCAGAACACTGCCCATGGCACACAGGTCTATGAAGACAGCCTGGTTTTCTGAAATGGAAGAGGGTTTGGAAAGATTCAGATTCAGTTCTTTATTGTTTAGATGTGGGTCCAGAGTGCAGGAAAAGCAAAGAATAAGTCCAAGTCATTCGATGACTTAGTGGTTGGGCTGGAGTCTGCATCCACCCCTCTGATCCCATGTGGAGCTCTGCACCACACCTTGGTCCGCCCTGCCTTTTTATTGAAAGATACTTCACTCAAAGTGCTTTTAACCCTGAAGCTGTATCTTCATAAGAGACAGGAGGAGACGTGTACTACTTAATACCCTTTGTGGATTCAGTCTCTTTGTCATCTAATGTGATTATTTGACCCAAGTGCTGGGATGGATGGAGTACTGTACAGTAGAGAGCCCTTTCTTCCAGGAGAAGTGATTCAGTCTGAGCCACTGTATAAGAAGATGGACAGCACATTCTCAAGAGGAAATGTGTTTGTGTCCACGTACTGGAATTTATCCACCTTGACTGAGATGATGGCGTTGACCTGGAGTTGCTCCAGCAGGAACTGAGAGAGATTCTGGTATATGTTTTTAGTTTGCGTGCCAGACTCGCACACTGTCACGAGTGCCTGCTTTTTGACTTCTGCGTTGATGAAAAGCTCCAGCTTCAGGTCAACAGGATATTCTGGGCATTTCACGAGAAATTGCAGTTGGCAGAAGATGAGGTACAGTCCCGGGACCTGGATCACAAGATCCCCATCCTGATACCTGATTCCATGGATGATGCCATCTTTGTTCCAGGACAGTTTGGTTTGGTTTATATACTTTGATACTGGTAATAGGAGGACCAAAAATAAATAAGAATGGGTAAATTTCAGGTGAAAATTAAAAAATGTTCACTCAAGGTTCCCCATTCAAGATCCTTGCTCTCTATATTGTCAGCTATTCCAACCATCTGGATTCTCTTCCATGTCCTTCTTTATTACTCAAAGCTAGAGGGTCAGCACACAGCAAGGTATTGTACCTCCACCTCCTATACAATTGTTTTTCACTTAATTATTATATTATTCTGCTGTTATTACAATAGTACCTTCCCTTTTGCAGACTGTAAGCCCCTGTGCTGTATTGCCCACAAATTCATTTATTTTGTCAGTGAGCATTTGAGCAATGGGGACATATTTTTTGGTAGGTCTTGTGCAGAGTATCAGAAATGTGATATTTAATTTTGCTCAGTTAGCAGCCTATTGGATATCAAGATTTTCACTAAGGTTCATTCTTTTTAACCAGTCATTGTCTGATGCTTTGAATGTTTCCTTTCTTAAAGGGGATGGCCAAACATCGTGTAGAGTCCTCCCATAGATTCCAAGGGCCTCGTCCTTCCTGCCACTTATGGAAAAGCACAGATCTAGCAGGGTCTCTGAGCTCCTATGCTCTTGTCAGAAGCCATTTCCCAACAAGCAGAAATCGATGTTGGAGTGCCTTGTAGAACTGGAAAGCTGGCACTTTAGTTTGAATTGCCCCTGTGCTTTCCATTTAAACCTCTTGCAGTTCAATGAGAACTATTCTAACTGCACAGTTGAATTTTTAAAGGAAACAGAATGGCTGTCCAGAGCACCTTGGCCCTCTCCCCCATGTCTTACTCTTTGGCACTGTCAGCACTGCCCTTCCCTGAGGTGTGCTGCAGTGTGCAAACAGGCCCCGGAACCCACATGTTCATTAAGCTGCCAATCTAGGGTCAAGGCAGTTCTGTGGTGGCCTGGTGAATAACTTGGTCGAGGCAGAGATCAAGAGTTTCCTGTGTCAGGGAAAGCGACTGTGCACATGGTTGCAACTGGTAGGTGGTGGAATGGAGCGGTAGACTGGGATGGACGCAAGTATATTCAGAGGCCAGGCAGGCAACATAAAGGCGTCTGCAGGGCTGAGACCCATGCTCCAGGAGGACTCTTGTAGCTAGCGAGTACACTGTGCCCTGTTCCCTTTGGAGCACATAAACTGCGGTTACAAAGAGGAGCATGTGGGACATGGGGAACACATTCCTGTTTGGCCGTGGCCTCTGCTGTCACCACTGACTCACAGATTTCGTAAGGGCTGCAGGAGGTGGCCCTGTGGTTGGGATCCCAGGATTTGGTTACTGACCTTGGAGGTAGGCCCATGACTTCTTTAGGGGGGCCCTTTTCAAGACACAGGATATGTCATCTGAACAATTGCCTAAAAATAAGGAGATCATGCATTAAATGTCTTTTCTCTGCTCTGGAAACCAGAAAACCCTTGCTTTCCCCTCTCCCCTTCATGACCTGTGTTGCAGATAGTGATGATACTGTTTCCATCTGGGAGGCAAAAGGAAAGCCTGTTTATTTCTCATTTGCCATGAAGTCCTTTTAGGAGTTTGGAAAACAGCTGCTTCCACTGGGACTTCTACAGAAGCCTGTGGAATTTGGGGGATGGAAAACATGTGGTCCATTCCTAGAATCCATCTGTGGCTTTACCTATCTCACCCCATTTAACTTCCTAGAAGTCTGAGAGCAGTGTAATTAAAATTCCTTCATGGAGGAGTAAGGCCTGGGAACCAGCTAGATGAAGTGCATGGTTCTGGGGTGCCCAGCCAGGCAGGAGGTAGTCAGGAGGACAACTCTGGTCTATCATGCTCTTATTGTCTGGGTACTCTGACAGATTTTTAGCCGATTGATTCCCACAGTAACTCTGCCAGGATAGTCCTGATATCTGGATATATAGTTGATGATACAGGTCAGAGCCGGCTGGGGACACTCAGATTTACCCCAGGGCTGTCTGATTCCAGAAACCAAGTTTCCTCCTCAAGTCCATTTTGCTTATCAGTAAAGATAAACACACGTGTATTTTCAGCTTTAAGAGGGTAGAAGGTTAAGATCTAAGCAGGGAGCCTGGTATCTGGACCTTCTTTAGCAGAGGAAAAAGACAATATTTAATGTCATTCTATTTATTCTAGTATAATATTTTAAATATTATGTGCTGGTGGTAGGGGCTTATTAGAATCGTAAATAGTTGGGGTGCAAAGAATCAGGTTATACACTGCTTGCAAAGCATCTTGAATTCTGTGTCTTCTCTTTGGACCTTGGGATCCCTATCTGTAAAACTGGGAGATTTACAACCTGACACATCTCTTTGATGACGCCAGCTGAAAGACCATTCAGCCAGAGGCTGGGAAGCGACCCTCCTCTCCTTCAGCTGAAGCAGCGTGTTTGCTCACTGCCTCTCCGAGTAGCATTTGTGATGCTCACCATCCTTTTCCCAGGTCTGGGAAAGTCCCTCTGGCCTTCCTCACAACTCATGGGGCTTTATGGTGTTTGAAAATTAAAGGAAGAGTTCCCTCTACTGTCTGAACAAGTCCACTACTGGAGATACCCCAAGCAGAAGCACGGGCAGTTTTTACTCTTAATCTGCTTTCAACCCATAAAGAGATTCTGGTCCACAGGTGTCTGGGGATGAAAACTGCTGGAGATGGGAACTGGATGCTGTGGAACATGGGGTCAGTGGAAGCACGTTGGGTTCCCTTCTCTCTCAGGAGCCTTCTCTGAGTCGACTGTACCTGCGGGCCAGGGCCAAGCTCCTCCGCCTGGACTTCATGCCTGCTTGTGTACTGGCCCCTTCACCTCCCTCTAGCCCCAGGAGTGGCAGCAGTGCTAGAGGTGCCTATGGTGATAATGGCTGATACTGGGTGAGCGCTGCTTTCTGGGTACCTGCTAACCACATTACCTGCACTTTTCCACATAGCTGTCCCAGCCACCCCTTGAGAAGGATCCGATAACAGTTTCCATCTGGTATAGAGGATACCACAGCTTTTAGCAGCTGGTCAGAGGAAGAGGGGAGATTTGAACTGAGGCTGCCTGACTCTGTTGCCCTGGGAGACTGCCAACCCTTTTACTGGAGTTTGTGGCCTTGTGGTGCCCCTAAACACACCAGGTTGGTTGGCCATTTCACCTTGGGGCCTGCTCTCTATTCTGCTTGCTGTTGCCCCTTCCACTGAGCTACTGTGTCCAGATTGTAGCGGGGTCTGGGAAACCCACCCTTCCTCCGCTTGCCAGTTTGTCTCTTCCATTAGACTGTGAACCTCAGGGCAGAGACTGTTCATCCTTCCTCACTGCCAGGCCTAGAAAATGCTGTGTGAATGCTGGCTGAGCTGAATCGCCCAGTCCATCTCTCTCATTTCCCTCTGTATGTTGGCTAAGTTCTGAAGGCTTAAGTGAGGTGAACAGGGATGCTGGGCTGGCCTCTCCCCTGGGGCTGGAGTAACACCTGACCTTCGTTCCCAGGGTTCCGTATTAGGTTAGAGGAGATGGGAGATGAGACTCGGGTATGGCCGAGGCCGGTACTTCATGCCGGGCAGTCTATACAGCTTGGGGCAGCCTCTGTCAGGTGCGCTTCTGTAAACAGGTAGCTGTACAAGGACAAGCCTGGGCTTGCCTCTCACACAAACAGCTGCTTTTTTCTCCTTCCCCTTTGGTCTTTGCATGTGTGGTGGGTTGACCTCAGTTGTAATTCTGAGAAACCCAAGGATGGAAAAAAAAAAAAACCAGCCTTGTTTTGAAGCATTTGCATTTCCTGAAGTCAAATGGCATGGTATATTGTAGTTTTTCTTAAAGATCTTTTAGTTGGTTTCAAGTGGAAGGAAAAATACAGGCGATCCCCTTTAGGAAGAGCTGGCAGAGAGAAGGGAACTGGGAGTGAGGACTTGGAAGGAGTTGATGGGACTAGGATGTTGAAGTTGGAAGTGAAGCCAGAGGATGGCACACTTGGTTGGCTTTTAGCTTTGGACAAGGCTGAGAGCAGGAAGACAGTGCAGCCTGCTCTGTGGGGCCCAACACTAAGGCTGTTGTTAAGGCCCCTGAAGGCGAGAAAGCACTCACTTGTCGCCTCTGCTCTCACCCACAGCTCTCAGATGAGGCCGTGGCCAGGCCTTCACTAGATACGTAAGTCACACTCAGTTCTGCCCACTCAAAAAATTGACCAATCGCCGCTATTCAGAGACGGTGGGTTGCTTTGAGGGACAGGAAACGCTTGCCAAAAGGTAGAAGCCCTATTCCATGGGGCATGAGACACACGGTCTGAGTCTCCCTGCTGTCCTATAAATCCATGATAGGGTTTTCTTTTTTAGTTATGAAGGTAGGAAGGAATGAGTTATAAAAAATACTGTTGTGTACAGTCCCTAATGCTTCTGGACACTGAATGCTGGGAACATAGGAACAAAGCACACTCCTGCTTGATTCATTTCCCAACTGACTCTGATGTCTGTAGGGGTTTAGCTAGATTAGCTGAGCAGCTGGGGGGTGTAAGTGAAAACTGTCTGCAAGTTGTGGTTGTGCTGAGTTGACAACCTGGACTAGAATCTAGGAATTCCCCCTCTTTAATTTCTAATTGTCTGACGAATAGTGTGGATCTGATGATCTGGAAGGGGCCTTCTAGATGATTCTAACAGGCTGTCTAGACAGCTACATACACTGCCAGATCTGCTGCAGAAGGGGAAAGTCAGTCCCAGCCCTGCCTGTCTTTCTGTGGACATGTTGCTCTACCCCAGCCAGGAGACTGTCTTCAGACATTCAAATTGCAGGATATGCAAGATGGTCAAACAGGACATTTTAGCTCCGGAGATAATCTAAGTTCTGAACACCTTATTTCCGTAAACATTTGCATGGTTGCCAGAAATGGAACTACCTGAGAGCTCACTCCCCTAATCCAGGCTTGTCAGCCACACAACACGTGTTCCCTGACCTCATGCACCTGGCAGAATTGTGCTAGGCCCAACCAGTGAGTTCCTGACAGAGGCAGGGCCAGATCCTAGGATACCTTTCTCCCCATTGTGACACTCCATCCTTCAGACAACTCTGGAGTTCTGTGAATTCCTTTGAGGACCAAGATCTTCAGGTAGGCAAGCATTTAATCTGTTTTCCCAAAATTCGGCCACCTTTAGAAGGATCATGGAGCTTTCTTGGACTTTATTTTTGAAACTTGGGGAAAAATATGTGCTAATGAAAGAAGTAGGGGAAGTAGGGGAAAAGCTGCTGAAGGTGGCTGAAAAGATGATGCTTTAGAAATCAGAATAATGGCTACCTGAAGATGAGATACCATTTTGAGATCTTTGATATTAGACCTGACAAGACTGCTAGATTCTAAGTTAACCTAGACTTTGGTCCTTATGGGTGAGGAGAGCTAACCCAGAAAGACTTGAGGTCTGGCCCAGGACCCCAGAGAAGTTAGTGGCAGATAGATTGAGACACAGGGCTCCTTTCCTGGCTCCTCATGCAGGACTGTCACCCCTGTCTCTTAGTTGTCCCATGGAGAAGGGAGGGTAAAATGCAGGAAAAGGTGGGTTTGCAACCACTGTAGACAGTGGGCTGAAAATGGATGAGATAGGTGGAGGTGCTGGAAACTCGAGTACCAATGAGCCCCCTGGATGCCCTCTTGTTGGGGAGATAGCAGCAGGCTGCGGGTCGGCCTGTGCGCTGAGCCCTACCAGTCACCAATCGGGGGTTGGGCTCTGTCCAGATGCAGCACCCACCAGGGTGGCTCCGTGGTGGCAGTATAGGCCGCATCAGCATTCTGGCCAGATGGTATGTAGTCTGAGTGCCAGGCATCTTCCTGCTCCAGAGCCACATTGACAACAGGACAAGACAGAGCACACAGCAGTAACTGTACTTGGGTGCTAGTCAAGTCTTTTGGCTTTACACCTGTCACTTCCCCCAACTGACAGTCTGGTCCCACGCCTCTACGTGCATGGATGTTATGAAGTTGCAGTGAGGCTGCAGATGCCAAAGGGCCAGTGCAGCATGTGGCTCAGAGAGGACCCCTGCCCCTCTTTTCCTAGTTGTTCCATCTTAGGAATGCCCATTAGCAGAGTAGTGTTAGTGAGAAACTGCTCATGGCATTACCTGACAGATGGGAATTTCTCAACTTTGCATATAAGCAGGTGAGGCCATCCGATGCTTCCAGGAAAAGTGTGCAGGGTCCTCTTTGCATCTGATGAAGATAATTTAATCCTTCCATGTAAGGAGGGAATTTCCTAATAACTCATCTACTATGTGCTGGCACTATGCTGCATAGTACTGGGTGGATGGCCAGGAGATCCTAAAAGGGACATCTAGGAAAGAGGCTTTCCACTGACCAGTAGAATTTGGAATCAAAGTGAATCCTTACTGAAAGCTCATTTCAGGTGATTTCAACTGGACTGTTTCCTG